ATTTGAGAAGCTCTAGCAAAGAAACAAAGGCAATAAAACCACCGGATAGGCTTAAATTAAAGCTAGGACTACAACGGGATCTGGCATAATCTTCTTCTTAAAATATCAGACCTTTTATTCGATTGTTCAAAGTAATTTAAGTAAAAGGTCTACAATTTAAAGAAAAAAAAACAGTTGCTTAGTTTTTATTCATAAGGCGTGGTAACAATTAAAGATCATTTCCACAACGAATCCATTTTTCATGATCGTACCGGGTTAACCTGCAAAATCATCTCTTCAAAAATTGGTGATTTTATCATCAAACATAACCTAAGAGACACCTAGAGAATTCCTGTGGTGTAACCAGTGTTGCCGCAGTCGCCCAAAGAAAAGTATCCTAAATGTATCCTAAAAAGTTTCCAAAAGTATCCACTTTTTTGTTTTAAGTGTCAATCTGAAAAAAAAAACNAGTAAAAAAGTAAAAAAGCATATTTTTCAATGAATTTGTGATACATTTACACCCGAGCGATCTCGTGCACAAGGGTATTATAACATTGTTCACAAAACAGTTGTTTGTAAAGGGAAAAACGAATCGATATAGATATAGACAAATGTATACATAAATGCTCAGAATGAAAAAAGAAATCGATTCAGACGTGACTGTCTTTCTGACAATCTTTTAAAAGAAATAAGAATATTATGGAATTTTGGAAAATGGGCGTATACCGCCCACTAGTGGACTATATACGTAAGTTCATCTCATTAACATTTCATAGAAAATGTTTGAAATATGTGCTTACCATGTAACGGTAGTTTTTAGAAAGGTAGAAAACTATAATTAATGCGTGCGCCGGATATTTAATGTTTAGTCTCTTTTGAAAAACCCTGACGTCAGAAAGAATAACTGAAAACGCAGTTTGACTATAACTGGCCCATAGTTTGGTGATTTTTTCGTGGGTTTTGACATTTTTCGGTTGTAATGAAGACTTTCGCAATAATATCCAACTTTTTTTTTAACAAAAAAAAAACCATTCTATTGTAGGTTAATCACCCTTTACGAAATCGGCCTCTTAGCGAAGCAAAACGTTCCTTAATATTTAGTATATTTGATAATAATTTTTGATAACACCACTTATCAATCTTGCTAACGAAAGTGATAATGATAACGGCAGCAAAAGCAATAAAGATACCGATATTTGTAGTACATACATATGTAGTTCTGATAACGGTCTTGTCTACAATGAAGGTGTACATTTTACTGTTCGAAGTTAAACCATAATGCCTCAAAGCTTAGACAAATGCATATTGCTGCAAAGTATAGGCTTCTAGAAGGCCAGTTTTCTCTTGTTGCGAACAGTTACGGTTCTACTGAACCACAGTCACTTGATTTCCGCAATTAGCACGGGTCTATCTCTTCATTATAAAAACATTTCATATTCATGAAAAATGCAAAAATTTAAATATACTTCCAAATCTAGTAAACGAATGGCAACGCTCATGAATCTCCATTCTCTGAGCATAATTGCTCGTACTCTCCAGCAGTTAGTTCCATGAGCATTTATAGCCTAGGTACATATATATATATATATGTATGTTTGTATGGCCATATGTAAATACTTACCATACATACATACATATAAACGCGATTATAAATAATACATAGTGCAAATCACATAGGCGTTGGTTTCGGCCTTGGCCGTCATTATGTGAATTTTTCCAGACGCTCCGAGCTTTTGTAAACGCGAATTTATTTAGTTATTGCGAGACACTCAGCTGATTAACTTGTAGAATACATAAATTATTTTCAAAGAAGTGCAGCGCGTAGATTAAATTCAAACGAAATGGCGACAAAATTGGATGCAATAATTTTCGGCGCAACCGGCTTTACTGGAGAAATTGTCGTTGATAATGCGCCGGAGGTGTTGCAAGGCTTGACGTGGGGTATTGCGGGAAGGAATTCGGTAAAAAAACAACTCTGATTAAGGCACTAAAGTGATCGTAGTTTTATTAAAAAAACTCAATACTTTTTAGGCTAAATTGGAAAATGTCTTGAAAGTAGCCGGTAAAAAAATAGGCAAGGATCTTAGTAAGATACCCATTATTTTGGCAGACGTTGAAGATGAAAATTCCATAAAGGAAATGGCGAACAAGAGCAAGGTGAGTGTTAGTGAAAGTGAAAGTTAAAGTGAAAGTGAAATTGTTGAGAATACATTCAAAGCAACTGAGCGCATATACACTTTATGAAATGAGCGTTAAAGCGCAAAACAATTTCTCAATTACACACACAAAGCCCAAAAATTTGTGATGACATTTTTCCCATACTCAAGGTCATCATCAATTGTTGCGGCCCCTATCGTTTTTATGGCGAGGTGGTTGTGAAAGCCTGCATTGAAGCTGGCACTCATCACGTGGATATCAGCGGTGAGCCACAATTTATCGACGGCATGGCTGTAAAGTATCATGAATTGGCCAAAGAGAAGCACGCCTATGTTGTCTCGGCCTGCGGATTTGATAGTATACCTGCGGAAATGGGTGTGGTCTTTGCAGAACGTAATTTTCCAGGTAAAATTCGCAATTGAAGTTAACTACAAACATCCCGTGTTGTGTACTGAGCCCGGCATTTAATTTTTCGCAGGTACTGTGAACTCCATTGAAACATACTGGGAGAATACCGTCGATTTCAAAGAGGGTGAGTCTAAAGCAATGCTGCATACCGGTACTTGGGAGAGCGTTGTATACGCGCTGAGCCATGCCAAGGAAGTGATTGCACTCACAAAACAGCTGAAGCCCAAAGATTATCCAGAGTTGAAACCGGCTTTGAAAGTGCGGTGAGTGAGAATAAAATTAAAAGCTTTGTTTCCGATAATTTCTAACTTCAACTACCAGCTTTAATTGGTATACTCCTACATATAGAAGTATAGAAGCTATAGAAGTATAGCCAAGTCATTGTCTGGCATGCAAATATTATAAAAAAGTGTATGAACAAAAAAAGCTAGTAGAAACTAAAAGCTCTCTCGCGTATTTAGGCCCCTTGTGTTTAAATTAGTAATATATTAGTTAATAATTACTTGTTAAGAAACAAAACTCCAGTAATTTAAGAGAGGCCTTTAATTTAGCAAAAATTAAGATTCACGCTGCCGACACTAGTACATACATACATATGTATGGCTGATAAGACCTACCGGCATTCCGACAGACGTATGTAGATATTTCTGTGTTTAATCTTACATACATATGTATGTATGTATATACATATATAAGTATTTCCAATAGACATACGAATTTTTTCTAAAATGAAATATATCTACATATGAGGATAGGAGGAGGTAGGAATGATGAAAAAGCAATAAAAATTAACTTTTTGTCTAAATTTGGAAAAACATTGTACCTTAAAAAAATATATATCCATATGTACATATGTACATTAGACTGCATCACTCCCCATACAAATGTATGTACTTTGTGTATGGAAACTTCCATGTTTTGTTCCAAATTTTTTTGATTTGGAATTATTCCAATGATTCGAATTTTTAATACATACTGTATTGGTTATATCATTAGCACCCCCACTTCAGAGTGAAATTTTTTGCCACTTATCTTTAGTTATTTATTTTAAAGAGTTTTTAATTAAAATACAGTTAATTCTCTAAAAAAACCATTTCAACTCCAGTTTAAAACTTTGAAGAACACAAAAAAAAATTTAAAAAATTTGCATCTAAATTTCAAACTTTTTTCTCAAAACTGCTAGAATGTTTTCGAATATATAGTCTTGTAGCCCATTAAATTTTAGTGTTATAATGTGCATATTTCAAGTGGCTAAAAATTGTAGTGGAGTTTTTAAAATTTCGTTTTGCTGAAGGTGTTTCGGTTTTCTTCCATATAAAAATAAATTGTGTTTATTCCTTATATGAAAGCAACTGCGGCAAAAAATTTTGTTATATGACTAATGTACATAGATATGTACCGACGTACAAATGTATAAGTATCGAATAATATTGATTTATAGAGCTTTTAACATTGTTTCTGATATTACTTGCTACATATTTCGCCCCCATAGCCGCTACCCGCATAAGGTGCCTACACTTGAAAGCTACTTTGTACCCGTAATGGGTGGAGATCGCCATATCGTTACAAACACACAACGTTTATGGTTTGAGAATGAGGAAAAGCGTCCAATACAATTCGAAAATTATGTTGGTTACAAGTAAGGTTCAGCGCAAACTTTCAATCATAGCAAAATCAATTTCTAACATTTTTTTTTTACTACTCTTTTCTTGCCTCGCAACATAACACTGAAGATCGCTACTCTACGCCATCATAACGCCCCTTATAGTGGTGTTAATCTCTCTGTTGTCCCAATTCAATTTTACGCGCAACTTACTTTTGAAATATCCACAAATTTTCTCTTTGGGTCTCATATCACCCGATGGGCCAACGCAAGCCACTATGGAATCTCACTTCTTCCAAATGCTTTTCAAAACTAAAGGCTGGACCAAGGCGCAATCGCTGAGTGAGCAACCTAAACAGCAGCTATGGACACGTGTCTCTGGTCGCAATCCTTTCTATGCCATGACTGGTGTGGCTATGTTGGCAGTAGCGAAGATTATTTTGCAGGAGACGGACAAGTTGCCTGGAAGGTAAGAAGAGAGAGAGAGAGAGAGAGAACGAAAATAGCAGACATTTCTGAAGCTAAAATATTTTTTCTATTTCAGTGGTGGCGTGATCTCTCCTGGTTATGCTTTCGCCAAAACTAGCCTCATTGAAGACTTGGAGAAGTACAAATACGGCATGAAGTTCGAGGTACTGAAGTTGGAGGCGTAGTTGTTTAGAAGCCAGTAAAAAGTGTGGATTTAATACGTTTTTTTTATTATATTTAAAATAAAGATAATACACACCCTGCGAGAAATAAACAACAAGACTTAATACAGTAAAAAAAAAATTTATAAGAATGGGGTTGGAGAAACTGAAGCTCTTATGCAGAAGAGACATATCTTCGAAATTCTCCCAGCAATATACTGGACAGTTATTTATGCTCCTTTCATACGAGTATTTTGTAATTACATTCAAACTTTTCCAGACCTAGCAAATGAATTCACTAGAGGAAAAGTAAGTTATTTGGTAATTGATTGCGGCGAGTTCAGAAACGGATTAGAATTGGAATTAACATTTTTTTACTTTTCTTTAATAAGTCATAATAAGATATGCACGGCCTGCTTTGCCGAGTGGTTAAAGGTCCGCTCTACCAATTGGTAGAACCCAGGCTCGATTTGTGGTCCACATACATTCGGGCAGTGTTTTTGTTTATAACTTTTAGTCGGATATCTCTAAAATTAAGATACTCAGCTCGTTGCTCTGATCAGTTTAGTATAATTTTTTATAAGTCTATGAACTAGAATCGAGATTTCGTCCTACGATTTCTAACCAATCAAAGGAATTGGAATTTTATTTCTGTTTCTATACTAATCCCTAGAGAACAACCCCAATTCCATTGCTCCGGATTCATTCACCTTCGCCTATTTGTCAGTTCCTTCATTGCCCTCAATGTTCGGATACATATATCCAAGTTCGAACAGGCTTACAGTTTTTTTTTTTTTGTCGGATGGGATCATGTTTCAGTGTCACCATAATGACCATTACACGTTTTTGAACGGTGCGTTTACTAGAGCTACCAATACACATTCTTAACAAAAAAAAAAGAAGCTTTGTGCACGTAAAAAATTTTCGATGTTAACAAATTTGGGTGGCTAGGGACGCGCAGTAACCCACGAACGTAAAAACGGAGAGCGCGTCAGCTGACACGATCTATCTTTTGGGATCTGCGTGTTAACAAAAAATCACCACCTCTCTTTCTATCAACAGCACACTTGTTATCTTTCTCCGTACTTCTACGCTACGCTACGTATACGTTCGTGGATAACCGCGCTCTAAGGCGAGACGCGATATAAATTCCTCAGTCGTTATCTCGCGCCAATCGACAGCGAAGGCACTAGGCTCAATGGAATGAAGTTAGTACAGTATTTCCCGGATATATGCATCATCTAAAATGCACGAGATGTGGTTTCCGATTGGTCTATGTGTAACTGAACCGTCACGAACGACTACTGCCAAATAATACATTTTCATTTAAAATAGGAACAAATTGAGATATCATTAGATATCAACATTAATTTAATTATTTAAATATCCAGTGATGAAAATTGTGTAACAATATTCTACACTTTTTAAGTAAGACCGACGATTCATGTAATTAATCTTATGGCGCTTTCGTTTCTACAAAAAATGTTGCCTTCTCATTTCCGTCTTCTTAGTATTTGTGCGTACAGGCAAAGAGAAGGTAACATTTTTTTGTAGAAACGAAAACGCCATTAAAACTTTCCCAAGTGCCCCAAAGCTTCTGATGAATAGATTCACATGCTTGCTTTGAGGAAAGACCCAAGTCAGAATTATTTCCAGGGAAATGCAAACCCGTTGAATATTTTTAAATCCATTACATCGAAAATCGATTAATCGAGCCCGTCCGTTACGACTTTTTGCCGATTTTTAGTTTCAATTCGTGAATCGATTCAAAAAACTTGAACAAATCAATAATGAACATCGATTCGTAAATTGATTCAAAAAACTTGAGAATCGACATACGGGTTTTCCTCAACTGATGCATATTAATCTTTGATTTGCCCTAGAAAACCGATACAATTTCAAAGAAATTAAAATTTGAGTCTGGTACAAAAAATAAGGACGACTTAGCGTCTTCAAATAAAATATTTTTTTATATTCGTAGGGAAAACTTGTGAGTCGAGCCCCTCCCACCCCTACCTGGCTACGCCCATGCTTATATCGTTGTCTTAAAATATGTAGACAACCCTTGTTTTTTCAGAACTATTTACCTGATAGCTTTTGGATATATTGAAACCGTTATGAGCAATGTATGTTTTAAAAAATTACAATTGTTTGCAATTTCAATGTTGTTGTTTTTGATGTAGCGAGTTTTGGAAAAAACGTTCAGATGAGCAGCTAACCTGTACAACTGGTTCATAAGATAATTTTACAATTAAAAAAGAAGATGACAAATTTTTCTCTGCTTTTGGGTACAATTTAAAAATATACAAACTTTTAACTAACCTCCCCTCACTGGACACTGCAAATTAAGACGACGACTACTAAGCTGCGAATCTGATTTTAATTAGTCTGTTCCTTTGAACTTCGGACTAAAACCTGTGGAACTGTCAAACTACAATTTTACGCTCTCAAATGAGAGTAAAAGGAGAACAGATGCAGAAGTGCATAGGAACGCAAAAAGCACTATTTCCTGTAAAAACGTCAGTCGGTTTGTTTACATGTCATTTGTACAACACTGATTTAGCTGAAATATCACTAAATAATTATTAAAATCTATACATATTCAAACATTTCGTTGTTTACTTCCATTTTTTTACAAATATAAGGTACTTTGCTTTCACCGCTGTTAGTTTTTGCTTGCACATGCAAATCAGCTGATCGTTTGACACTTTTCATGAACTTACAGGAAAACAAACTCCGGACTAAATCCTGTAACTTCTGACTAGGAACAGTTGCTCAGTTACTCTCTCAAATGTGTTCCCACTTACAGGTTTTATGTCAATAGGAACGACTTCCTGTAAGTTCTGACTAAATCCTGTAAACCGGACTGCTATTGGAACAGACTAAATATCTATGTCGTTTCTGCAATTCAACTGAGGAGACACCGTTGCCATCTGCTCCAAGAATGTTATGGGATAGTAAGGTGACTAAAGAGCAGCGTAGGCTCAAGGTGGCGAGAGAGAGAGAGAGCACAAACACTCCTTACTTTCAAAGACTCTCCTCAACTTCCTGGAATCTTTGGAAATTAGAGATGTGTTGTGATGAGTTGAGGGCACAATAGACCCACTAGGTCGCGGTGTATGCCTCTTTAATTTATCTATATATCTTACCTAAAAAGGGGAAATTTTCTTTAAATATTTTAGAGGTTATAAGCGGGAAACACTGTAACTACAAATACATACATATTTATAACAAAGACTTTCACTAATGTTTTGTTTATCTTTTGTTGTGCTATTCAATAAGTAATTAGATAACGGCATTACAATATCTGGTGCGTCCGCAAGTCTTGCATACAGAAGCTTTTATAATAGGTATATTTATGTACATATAAAAACGTTGATATAAACCTTTAGAATTTCCAATTTAATAACTATATATGCTTGCATGTATGTATGTTTTAAGCTTTAACTGAGCAATTACTAGGCACTTTTGGACTGAGCTTAAGTCACCTCGACTACAACAATGCTAGTAATTAGATAGGTAGTCGTCCGACAACCAGTTGCTNCTAGGCACTTTTGGACTGAGCTTAAGTCACCTCGACTACAACAATGCTAGTAATTAGATAGGTAGTCGTCCGACAACCAGTTGCTGAGAATACAAGTTCAGTCACAACGCAGCCGTCTAACAAATCTGAAACAACAAATCTCGATTTAAATCTGAAAAAATCGATCTAAATGCAAACATAAAGACGCACTAAGTTAAAAGTGTTAAAGATGTCAGCGAAATTGGATGTTGTAATATTTGGGCCACCGGTTTTACGGGGCAAATTGTGGTCGAGAAGGCGCCAGAGATATTGCAGGGCCTCAGCTGGGGCATTGCGGGTCGTAACAAGGTAAACATTGATACTTATTCAAACAAGGCGATGCTAAAGTTCATTTAACATAATTGCTAGAATAAGCTGGAAAATGTGCTGAAAACGCAGGTCAGGCAATTGGCAAAGATTTAAGTGCGATACCGATTATCTTGGCAGATGTAGACGACCGGCTATCGATTGAGGAAATGGCTAGGAATGCAAGGTAATGTGAACATTTTCAGCAAAGTACATAAATTTAAAAAGATTTGCGTTTTTTTATTTTTAATTTTTTGCTTAAGGTACTAATCAATTGCTGTGGCCCATATCGGTTCTATGGCGAGGTGGTGGTTAAGGCCTGCATTGAAGCCGGTACTCATCACTTGGATATTAGCGGCGAACCTCAATATATAGACGGATGCAAGTGAAATATCATAAATTGGCGCAGGAGCAGCAAATTTATGTGATTTCATCGTGTGGCTTCGATAGCATTCCAGCCGAAATGGGTGTAGTGCATGCAGAGCGAAATTTTCCAGGTGGGACCATTGTGGGGGGATATGTGACTGTCATTGCCATTACTTTCACTATGTATGTAACTACCTCCAATTTATTCCTTAGGTACTGTAAATAGCTGCGAAATGTTTTGGGAAAATATTCTTGATATCAAGACAAAAGCTCCAAAGCTGTTTTACATGCCGGCACGTGGGAAAGCGCTATTCATGCCATGGCTAACTTCAGAGAAAGCCAAAGATTGCAACGTCTTTGGGTGACACTAAATTGCCAGATTTGCAGCCGAAACTAAAATTTTGGTAAGGTGGGAAGCTTTTCTTTTAGATTATAGGCAAAAAATTTGGAATGTTACTGATACAGATTTAACATTTGGAAATCTAAACCTAACTTAGAGGTGGGAGTGAACATTTCATACCACATTATGCACATCAAAGCTATTAAAATTTAAATATTGTACGCACCTCCTAAAAGAATTGCAAATTTCTTAATATCTAAAACATTCAATTATCGAAATTTCTAAAATTTTTTCACTTACAGTGGTGAAAATATAAATAGGGAGGAGACATTTTAGTATTATTTAGCTGTTTCCTTTTCTTTTATTTAATGTTTATTATTTTTTTATGAAAGTGTAACTCGTTATCTAACAAAAACATGTAAGTCAAAATTTCAAACTTTTCAAAAAGAGAATTTTTTTTGTAAGTAGCTTTGTAGCCCATTAAATTTTGGTGCAATGAAGTGCAAGGAGCTAGTACTTACCGTTGATTTTTGGCAATTTTTTGTGTGGAAACGGTGTGAAAATTCGTCGAGTTGTTATAAATGTTCAGTTTAAAATTTTGATTTACATGGTATTTTAATTAGTAAGCTATATTTTAATAAAAAAATTATAAAAACTGTTAGACAACGCAAAATAGCTAAAACTACCTAAAATATCTATTCCCTATTTACACTCTCACCACCGTACATCTACTTACTCGCTCCCACTTTACAGGCGCTTCGCAAAGAAAGTTCAATTTCTCGATCGCTATTTCTTCGCCATACACTCCGGTGATCGTGATGTTGTGATGAATACTCAACGTTTGCGCTATATAAACGACCAGAAGCGTCCGATACAGTTTGAAAATTATATTGGCTTCAAGTGAGTTCGATCAATGAGCAAACATACATATCTTTTTGTTTCCCATTTTCAATTTAATTCCTCCAGCTCCCTATGGACCACCATTTCGACACAAATGATTCTCATGTTCACCATTATAATGGCACAAATTCCCGGCTTACGCGGACTGCTAATTATGAATCCGAAATTCTTCACGCGTGGCCTAATGTCGCACGAAGGACCAGTGGCGGCAAATCGTAAAGCTCAGAAGCTTCAAATGACCTTTCGCACAAAGGGCTGGGTCGTGGGACAGCCGTTGACTGAGGAACCCAAGCAAGAACTAATGACGCGTATATCGGCCACCGATCCATTCTATGGCATGACCAGCGTAGCGATCTTGGCAGCGGCAAAAATTATACTAAAGGAGAGCGATAAAATGCCAGACAAGTAAGTGAATGCCGCTATTATTTTATTAGTATATTATTTATTTTTAATTTCTTTTTTTTTTTTTTATATACCAGCGGTGGCGTCATCTCACCTGGTTATGCATTTGCTAACACTTCACTCATCGAGGAGCTGAGCCAGCTGAAGGACGGCATTAAGTTCGAGGTATTAAAGCTGGAACACTGATTGAGTTGCTGCTAAAGAAAAATCGTTTTTATTTGAAATGTTTTTATGTTTATTAAATTTTAAATTTTTGCAATAAAATACATTTCTCATAATTTATTCATCAAATTATTAAGCTGAATGCGCGTTAATCATATTATTGTCAGGGACTGGCGCCAATGCCGATAAATCACTTGGCAGTGTGACTATTTAGTCGACTTACGCCACCTTTTATTTTAACAGTAATTTACATGAGTTACAAGGTGTGCGATTTACATATGTATACCCAAGCCTACATACATATTCACATACTTACACTGCCGGCAAAAAGTATTGGCACAGTAAATTTTTCACAATATATGCAACATTTTTTTTTTATATTTTTCCGCCAATTTTTTATAAAANTTACATATGTATACCCAAGCCTACATACATATTCACATACTTACACTGCCAGCAAAAAGTATTGGCACAGTAAATTTTTCACAATATATGCAACAATTTTTTTTATATTTTTCCGCCAATTTTTTATAAAAATATGGTTCATTCTATAACAAAAAAACGCAAAAATATAATTCCTAAACTTTGTGAAAACCTCACGAAAATTCTGCAAATTTTCAAATTTTTAATCAGATTTTTTTAAATTTAATTTTAATAAGGAACAAGTTTTAAGTAGCTCTTCCATAAATTTTTTTTTTCGAAAATACTTTATATGTAAAAATGCAAAACATCTTCAACAAAAAAAAAAAAATTCTCGAAAATCAATGCGCATTTCGACTAACTCCGAACTTGCATTTTTTACTAGAATTGAATGGGCTGCAAAACTGCATACTCAAAAATAATCTGAAAAATCTGATTAAAAAGTAGAAAATTTAAATGAAAATTTGCTGAATTTTCGCGAGTTTTGCGTAAAGTTTAGGAATTATATTTTTAAGTTTTTTAATGTAGAATGAACCATATTTTTATACAAAATTGGCGGAAAAATATTAGAATAAAAATTATTGCAATTACCGTGAAAAGTTTTCTGCGCGAATACTTTATTCCGGCAGTGTACATATTTACCTGCATATTCATATTTTACACTCGCCGGCTAATCTCCTCCAACCACTGTGTTATTATTTACATATTTACTCCATTGCCCAGCGGCCACTTGTCACTTTGTTAAATGGTAAAATTGATTTATTCCAGTTGATTGACGATTGATCGCATGCGCCGCCGCTTGGAACAGGGTTTAAGTATTTATTTACATACATTTGCATGTATCCATCCACCCATGTAGATATATTTGCGTGTACATACATATGTAGCTTTGCATTCAATCGCTTGCAATTTTGAATGTTTTGAAATGTGCAGCGATCCTAAAGTGGCCCCGTCGTCATTCCAGTTCCATATTGGTTTATCTAAAGCGTGTTGACACATTGCAACCGTGGCAGTGATCGTGGTGGTATGCACGTTGCAGTTAGGCGCCTTTATGTATGTATGTAGATATGTCTGTGAGTGCATGCATATCTCGAACACTTTTCAGCTAAATAAATTGTTTTTTAATTAAGCTTGAGTGATTGTGATTTGTGCAAGACTCGAAAGGTCGGAAAGTTCATTAATGACAGCTTGCGTGTAATTTGATCTCCTTTAAGTATAACACCGTGCTACAAAATTGAAATATTTCTTNTGCAAATTTTCAAATTTTTAATCAGATTTTTTTAAATTTAATTTTAATAAAGAACAAGTTTGAAGTTGGTCTTCCATAAATTTTTTTTTTCGAAAATACTTTATATGTAAAAATGCAAAACACCTTCAACAAAAAAAAAAAAAAATTGTCGAAAATCAATGCGCATTTCGACTAACTCCGAACTTGCATTTTTTACTAGAATTTAATGGGCTGCAAAACTGCATACTCAAAAATAATCTGAAAAATCTGATTAAAAAGTAGAAAATTTAAATGACAATTTGCTGAATTTTCGCGAGTTTTGCGCAAAGTTTAGGAATTATATTTTTAAGTTTTTTAATGTAGAATGAACCATATTGTTATACAAAATTGGCGGAAAAATATTAGAATAAAAATTATTGCAATTACCGTGAAAAGTTTTCTGCCCGAATACTTTATTCCGGCAGTGTACATATTTACCTGCATATTCATATTTTCATACAAAGGCGTAGATAGATACACTCGCCGGCTAATCTCCTCCAACCACTGTGTTATTATTTATTTACTCCATTGCCCAGCGGCCACTTGTCACTTAGTTAAATGGTAAAATTGATTTATTCCAGTTGATTGGCGATTGATCGCATGCGCCGCCGCTTGGAACAGGGTTTAAGTATTTATTTACATACATTTGCATGTATCCATCCACCCATGTAGATACATATATTTGCGTGTACATAATCGCTTGCAATTTTGAATGTTTTGAAATGTGCAGCGATCCTAAAGTGGCCCCGTCGTCATTCCAGTTCCATATTGGTTTATCTAAAGCGCGTTG